ATATAATTTGATTGAGTTACACATGTTTTAGTACATTGTCTTATTTCCTAAATAAATGAAGTAAATTTTTAATAATATAATACTGTAGGCCTACTGTTAAAAATTCAAATATACTTTGCACATATAAGTTCTTTAATGGAATAAAAAATTAATTCTTTTATGCACAATACAGGAGTGGCAAACATTAATTCTATTTTTGTTTGATTATTATCATTTACCTGTTCTGGGGAAAATCTCTTTTAGACCTTGTAGTGCAGTTAAGGTCTTTTCCATATCATTCTGTCTGTCCAAACTATGCCTTGGGTCAAAATTACTGTCTTCATTTCCCCGGTTGAATGCACTGACTGGAAGGGGTTTGGCTTCTCCTCGAGGAACATTCCAGGTACAAAGGGTAGATGTACATGATGCACCTGTTACAGATTGTGGACATAGATCTTTCAAAGCAAACAACAGAGCTCCGATATGGCTACAAGCTTGTGCTGCCCTACAAAAGAACACATAAGGTATGAAAAATGTTATTCTGGTACAAGTTTTGTGAAGCTTGAAGCTACATTTACAGTCATACTGCAGCATTGTTCTATCAGATTTTCAGGTACTTGAGCACATATTTTGATTTATAATGTTCATCTCATCATAAGTATTATGTAGTGTCTATGAAACTTACCCAATTGGACACTGACAATAAGCGTAGTCTATGGAATGTTGCTCTTCATTTTCCTTTGAGAAACAAATAAAAACTTGGTAGTTCATCTTCTTCATGGATGCCTGACACAGAGCTCTCACATACATTGTTGTATCATTGACCTGAAAAAAAAAATTCTTGTGTTGACTTTTCTCAACAAACCTTGGTAAGTTATGGACTTGTTTAATCTGAGATTAAATCAAATATCTAGTAGGCCTATTTTAAAAATATAAAACACTGTAGGGGCTGTAAGGATGAGAGTAAGTTTCTGTTCCTTGTCTCTAATATTTGATAAAGTTATATTAGACTCAATGTGTAGATCTAGGTAATTATGAGACAATAATTGTGTGTGTGTGAGGTAAGGAGGGGGGAGCTCTTTACTCTACACAAATATTAGGTGTCATGCAAAAAAAGCTGTGTACCATATTAACAGAAGTAATTTACATAGCATTATGCTTTGAAGATCTAGATCTACTACCATAAACAATTGATGTCATATATTAGTTGGACGATTACGTACCTTTGCATGTGAAATGTTTTTCACGTCTCCTGCATCATGGTGTTTGACTGCC